AAGAAAGTAGAGTGAAATAATGAGCAGAAATCAATGTAAAATAAAACAGAAAATAATAGAAATAATAGAAAAGTTTAAAAAACTACAAATACAATAATTCTTTGTGCACTGTTACCCACTTACAAACTTCTAGTATCAATTTTTTTCCATATACATGTTAACCAAATCTAAATATTTCTGTTTACATATACGCGAACCCTGGGCATTCCAGTCGGGGCTGGCTAGGGAAAAAAGCAAAGATGGGAACCGAGAACGTTAGGGATGGGAAAGCAATGCAAAGACAAATCCAGGGTCTTCTTTATTTGTTAGCTGGTTAAATCTTTTTCTCAATATTAGATCTCTGAGACTTAGGGGATAAAAAAGATGAAAATAAACTCCAGGCTTTAGAGCTGCCAGTTTCTTGGAGGAGGAAGGAGAGAAATAGAAATGAGGTTTAAAGAGAAGAAATGAGAATGTTCTGGAGAGAGGTTAGAGCAAGAAAACTCAAGTCTGGTAAACACACACTTTGGCAAATCTGCCTTAGTCACAACGAGGAGTCGAATTAAAAATCTATTGTTCATATGCTTATTTCATACTGCTTTTGTCTCTCATTCCCACATTTACTGATTATACCACATCATTGTCCTGTCCATCTTTGTAACATCCAACAGCGAGAGCATAGACTCTGTTGACCATCTTACTCAGCCCAGCACTTTCCACCAGGAATACAGAGGTGTCAATATATGTCAGCTAATTGGTACAAAGTATAAAATTGATTGGCTTTGTTTTATTTTAAATAAACAATGCTAATTTTTAATGATTATCTATATAACTCTCTGGCATTCCTTTTGCTATAAATCCTGGTGCATTTTCTCCAGGGAAAAACAATAGTGGTTCTATATATGTTACTGAACCAGAGATCCGAAAAGAAAATGGCAATGTAACATTTTAATTCCAAAGAGTAATTTTTATATTATTTGTGGAATTTTTCAAAAGATGTATATATTAATCGATTTTTCTGAAGATATCATATAGGATGCAGAGCAAACAATGTAGTTAAAA